GAGCATAATTAAGCAGTTTCCTAATGTAAAAGTTCAGTAAAGCCATTTTAAACCTTATAATGTATGCAGAGAGGACAGAAGGGCACAAAGCAGTGTTCAAACACATTTTCACTTCATCGACACTTTCCATAAAATTGATCGTGAGAAAAAAATATGCGAAAAGAAAAATCTAATAAATCATAGGCTCTTGTCAGCTGCGTATGATGTGATTTCTAATAAACCAGTACCCGAATTTTTTAAAATCAGTTAGTAGTTTCGGAACCTATTCAATACAAACAAACAAACTTTCACATCTTCCCCTCTTTATAATATTATAGTATATAGTATAGACAACGGTAGCAATTCTGTTGCGCGAATAAAACTAAATTTAGATTTAGTTCTGTCAAACTGTATTTTCCATTGTGAAAATAACTAAGATAACAGAAGTAAGTAAACTTTATTAGCGCCGGCTCCGTGAAACTTGGCGCCCGGGCAAAACATTGGAACAAAAATTGAAGAAAAAGTATAACAAAAAAAATGTGTGTAGACCGATAGGAATGTAATTTTGCCAATGACAAGAGAAGCTCCTTGTCTATAAATTTCAAACTTTTAAATACCACGTACATAGACTCACGTTGAAACAAAAGTATTTTTGGGTTCCGCATTTCTATAGTTCAAATGTTTAGAGCAAACATAATCTGTTTGCCATGGCTTAACGGTCTCCAAATATGAGCGCCCTAGGCAGTTGCCTAGTTTGCCTATATGAACAGACCGGCCCTGAACTTATTATATTATAGTATACAGGTTTGTGACTATATTTCTTTGAATGTATATGACTATTGAATAATATTATAACAAATCCAAATTACAATTTGCTATTTTTTAGTTAAGTTTAGCCTTAATATAATTACAACGAATGTGATACCTCACATCAATGAGCTTGTCAAAAACAAGAGAAGTCAGGTACTTATCTGGATCCTCGAAATAATTACCCTCTTTTATAACTTTGATATGATTTTTAACAGCCGTATATTACATACTATATAATTAAATAAATAAAGTGTTATAATAATTCAGTACATTTTTTTTATTTGTATCTGGGCCGCCTACACATTCTAAATTTAATATATGGCCCACTGCAAAATTGAGTTTAACACCCCTGGTTTAGAGAGTGGTACAATACAACAGAGTTGACGCCAATGTTTGACTGATGAATAAGTGTCTCGTTCAGAACTATAAATTCAGTAGCATGGTTTAAATTTAAATCTTTCTGATTTCGCACAAGTACGATCTACCATCAGATCGAGATCTTCATTCATACGCTCTGAACTGTGACATAAGTACTTTATACACATATGTTATTTTGGATATTCTCACGTAAATGTATTTTACATTTATAAAAAAAAACTAGTTAAGTACTAGTAGACTATTCTACCATTAAAATATTCCTCTCTTTTATTTTGGACGTTTTTAATTTTTCTTATTTATATGATTTTGATAATAATCTGCCCCGCTCACCCTGGACTGGGTGACGTGCTTCACCCATTCTTGTGTGATATACGTGCACCGAGCCTTGACCCTTATCTTTCTTATCTTACTGCTGCACACAGGTATATCACTTATATAATTACGTATTCTGTTCTCAACTGTTCTTTGTATTGTACAAGTTTGTGACGTAGTTGTGTGTTGTTGTCTGAATAAACTATTTATCTATCTATCTAGTTCTTGAAATCCCTTGGATCATAGACACTTATCTATGCTAAATCCAACTAGACGTCGATAAAATCAAATTATCTATGATGAGATTCCGATATTCATTCCGATGTCATAAAATTTGGAAATTAAAATTTTAATAACATATCATACCTTAAAAAAGAACTTTGATTTGAATGAGCTATTGTTCATATTTAACACAGCTTGCTTTTTTAGTACCTATACAAGTTTAGGAATTTAATATTGTTGTTTTTTGGATCTGCAATTTCGGTTTCGTTTATTGTGTTACGCATAACGGAACGTCATCTATTGTCTCTGGTCCATTTCGATGTTATTATGTCATGTCAAGAATTGATAAATGAAGTAAAAATTCAAACGTAGTAGAGGCATCTGCAGTGCGAATCTGTAAAAATCCGAACCCGAATTCGAATTCACACATGTGTCACGTCATTTATTGAAGAAATTCTATTGATTCCATTTTTGTATAAAAATACAAAATAAAATTATTGATTATAGGTGTCTCGGATTTCTATTTCTATGTCATTTCGAAACCCACTTCACTTATGCCATGTTACGTTATTAGAAATTCAAAATTGAGCGGATGCTGCATTTGAAAGGAATTCAGACACCTGAGTGAATTCGCGTTCGAGTTTAGATTTTTACAGAATATCTGGACTGTTTCCAAATTATAAGGGACTGTCCGAATCGCCATTTTCTTTCACGCAAGTTTTTTCTGTAACAAATTAATAATATGGGAATATCCGCACATGCGGAAACAAAATCGCGGGACAAAAAAATCGCACTTAATGTACAGTAAACTATAGATTTTCTCGTATTTTTTCCGAGCAACAATTTTGATCAGTATGACGTAAAATTGGCTATGTGCGCACCGAGGAAAAAAAATTCGCGCCAATCACTCAGTGTTGCATCGGCATCAGCAGCGTAAAGATGTGACGAAGTTCATCTCTCGTCCACCGAGCAATTGCCGAAAATGACGAAATTGCTATCGAAATACTAATAACGCCAATGCAAAATAAACCTAAATTGTAGGATAAATCTCAGGCATAATAGGTATTTTACCTTGAGAGACTATTTAAGGCTATGTTGTATGGAGAAATATCTATTTATTGGAGAATAGTGCAACAGTCCTATAAAGTAAATTTAATTTAATACTTAAAAATAAATGAAACCCTTCATTGATCATGAGGCAGTAAATTAGTGGATCATGGCCAGTGGTCATGGTATCTTTTGGTAGGTTTGTTACGCCATCGCCGAAATATCAGATAAATTTAAATTGTTCTGTATTTCGTTTCAAGACGTTTATCTGGGATGGGAGCTACATAAAACTGACATAAATAGCGCGAAAATTTAAAAGCAAAGCGGACTAGATGTAATTTCATTGGGAATTAAAATTCGCGCGATGAAAAATCGCGTTGCAGACAGTCCCTAAGACGAAAATTGTTCGCTGGCTCAACTAAGGAAATAATAAACGAACTCACAAGGTGGTGGCTGTTTTTTCTGATTGTTCCATACAACCAGTATCTTGGCCAGGCTGGGCGTGCGCACCAGCTTGCGGACGAGCGCGAACAGGCTCTCAACGCGGTCGTACGTCAGTATGACTGCGGTGAAGCCCGGCGCCTTTGCCGCAGTCACCGGCAGAAACAGCGGATTCACGGGACCGTACTACAAACAACAGCATGATTAGGTTCCCACTAGTGGGCCAACTCTGCTAATGTTTACGTAATAATAACATGCCAATAAAATCTCCACTACTTGCACTTTGTCATTGTACTATCTACCAGGAGTCCGATATTATAAGTGCTATGTCCTCCTCACAAATCAATGGCGGCAAATACATAATAATATTGGATTACAGGTTGATACTACTGTAACGGTGCGTATTACCACCGTTTATTTTGTCCTTAGTTTCCGCGTGCAAACTTTTTGTCTTTGATCTCTTTACGAATTTCAATTCGTGAAAATTCGTCGATCAAGTTAGAAACATTGTACTTACTTAATTCTAATCAATAATTTGTTGTAAAAAAAATGTATACTATATTAATAATTTTAAAAAAGGTGTTTTTGTTTACCTTTATTAAATCAAATTCTCAAGCTTAGTCAGCCTTTTATTAATTTGTCTAAGCATCGAATCCTGTCACAACTGGCACCCCGTACAATGGCATAATGCAAGTAGTCAAGATTCTATTGAGATGCGATTATTACGTTAACATTAAAAGAATTAGCCCACAATACGCGTTGCTTGACGAACTCGTAAACGTTTTGTCCACACCCGAAAAAAAGTGACATCTCGACCGGAGAAAAGTGTCATTTGAGTCACTTTTCTCCGATGGACAGAGCGTTCCTAGAGTTTGTCACGCTACGCATGCAGAAGAGCGACCGCATGACTGTCTAGCCATAGGATACGACATCTTAGCGATATCATGGTGGTATTTCGTTTCATTTTACAACTTTGAGATGGTCTTTAATAACGACAAACGAATGATTACTAACTTAAGTAATTTAATCCAAATTTATCCATTAAAAGACATGCCACAGTAGTAAAATGAAATATTGCCGTAACATCGCTAAGATGTCTCATATAACTAGAGTTATGCTAGAGAACTAGGCGGTCGCACTACTGATTTTTAAAACATATCACACTAACGCCTAAAAAAGCAACGCATTCGCTTGCGGTATATGATAGTGTTTACCGTGTGCTTTGTCTCGATCAAATAGTAACATCCTTGTCGGTACATAGACGCAGAAGTTTCCCTAGTGTAGTGTAGTGCATTACTTAAGTGAGTCATAAAAAATCTCTCAATGATTTGTCTTCACCCACAACACAAAAGATCAATGTAAATATCAATGTCTTTCCGAAGAAAGTGCAGTGTGTTACTAAAATTTTGCATTCGCAGTAGTCTCACAGGGGTTTTCTCTTCCGCACACAAACGCGTTTGTAGTACACGGATGTTAAAGAAAGGATAATAATTAAATTGTAACGAGTTTTCTGTGATATTTACATTCTATTCCGACAAATATCGAAATTCTAAGTAAACCATACAGTTGCTATTGATTGGACAGACAGGTTGACGAAAATAATGACTTCTAGCCCTGCCTTAGTGTTATATTGATCAACGGTCATCCAGCAAGGTGTTAGACCTTAATTTGAGTAAACCTTTTTTTATTTCTCAAGAAAAACGTTTCATGTATGCCGGACTCTCAACTGTCCGACCTCTTTGGGAGCTAATCAAAGGATGGACGGCATACCGGCTAAGATCCCTGCGGTAAACCGTAATTCCGAAAATTGACCTGGGGTGCATTGCATACCCATAGTAAGCTTGCCTAAACCGAGCATATTGACAATTACTCAATTTAGAGTTAATCAAACCATACTGATAAGTGAGTCACTAGATAAAACACATACTCAGTGCACATTATGAATAAAAATAAAATATTGTTGAAATTTTCAAAATAACAAGAAACAAATAGGATTTGGTGGTTTCTTCAATTATAATATTTGAAATAGATATATATAATAGTAAATTATTTTAGCTATCTTACATGAGTAAAATTATAATTACAACAAGATTTCAAATTTTGATTATAAATAAAATCTTTAGGAACTATGTCTTTACACACATTCTTCATAAAACATTATAGTGCACACTATACCATACATAACTCTTTTTCCTATTTGTTTATTATGTTTTTTTTTTATTTACATAAAAGTAAATATTAATGTAGTACTAAATAGTTGTTACTTATTATTATATAAATTTTAGATATAAACAATTATATAAAAAAATACTGGTATCCTAGGGAGAGGTTTAATAATATTCTACTGCAAATTAATTTTTAATATATATGTACATCATTACAAAAATATTACTTACCAAATATTCAGGCATATTCCAATTTTCATACATTCTAGCTGATAGTGGAAATAGGTATTCGTTTATAATTTCTAAAGTTGTCAATGTTATCTTCTCAATACTAGAAAAATATCTATCATAAACCCATCTCAATTGCCAATACAACTCTCCACGTCTCTCATTACTCACTGAGTGAACTATTTTTAATAAATTCTTGAGATTATCTTCAGGTAAACTCAATGAAAGTTTATTCCAATCCACGTGAGAGTTGAAAGGCATGACAACAGAGTCTGCAACAACTATTGGAATGCATTGCGAAGCTAAAATATCCATAAGGACAGCTTGAGTCAGTCGGGCGCTTCGTATCACCAAGCAAAACATTCCTTCTTTTAATATCTCAGGGTAATTAAACATTCTACCTGTTGTGTACTCGCAACGTTTTGTGTAATCAACTCCACCTGAGTTTGATTTACATCTATCTAGTAGCAGCAAATCATTTGATGACGATGCAATGTTTTGAAGTTGTTCTAGATAGTTTTGAGGTATGTTGAGTTGGGTTGATATTACCATGTAGGTTTTCTGTTTGGGCTGAGAGTTATCAATTTTTTCAGCGATATTACTGTAAACTGGTATTGACACATCAAAACCATATCTAAATGACCATGTATTGAACCCCCCTCCTGCTATAATTGCTTTGCCTGTATTAAGGTTGATAACAGATTCATAGTTAGGTGCCTTCCCAGGCAGCATATTGAATATGATATGATTCTCACCATTGTTCCAACTGCACAATAAAAAAAACCTTTTATATACAAGTCTATTTGAAAGTGGTTATTAGTTATAGGAATTAATAAATGATAATAATTTTCTTAATTACAAAAATAAGCATTTGGTTTATGTATTTGTATATGGTTATCTATAAATTACTTAATGTGACTACAAAAAATATATAATATTGTTTTCATAGACATACTATTATAATTTATGTCATAAAAGTTGTTAAAAATTATTAATAAATGAAAAATACTCACTATTGTAATGATTGCAAAGCTCTTCCGACATATTCACTAGAGAAACTATTTTGATTTAATGTATCTATACTTGGAACTAACAAACACGCCTCTTCTGGGTCTGGTGTATAATATTTACTATGTCTTATAGTATCTAATATTATATAAAATTCCTTAGAAAACTGTGATATAGGTCGTCCATTTTCAGTCTGATAATCTTTCAATGGGTAAATATATATTGTAATCTTATCGTGCCCGCCTCTTCCACACCTGTAAACATTGAAGCATTCCCAGTATGTACAGTTTGAGAGGCGAGACTCTGATTTTGGCAAATCTCTTCTAAGTTGCAACACTTTAACACTCGATGGATCTAAATTTACAGGTTCATGGAAGTCTGTCCGTGATGAACTACCCGAAAAAACATTAAATAACACTGTAAACACTAAAGATAGCACAATAAACAATAAAAGGCCAACGAAAAACCTATGATAGATGATATTTCTATACGATGTATATTTAATATGTTTGCTCGTTTTTAGGAGCGACTCCGCAGCCATTTGTGATTTTGAGCGTTAATTTAAGCTTCTTAATTTATATATGGTACCCATTATTAGGTAAAATCAATGATTTCTCATTGAGAAATCTAAAAAAAACGCGAGAACACTGGTGCCTCTTGAGAAACTGACGCAGCGCAATGACATTAGATTTCAAAATTGTATAGTTGACATTGACAATAACGACAGTCATAATGTCAACCAAACTTCAATTATTTATAAAGTTCAATTGGGCCAATTGAATTGATGACAATTTTGAATTTAAATAAAATAATAAAGCTGTCTGATTACATTGTTAAAGACAATACAAATAGAATGTATATAGAAAACAAAGATATTTATAAATTAAGACTATTATTGATTGCAAGGAATTTTGAATGGGCTGGGATTCTCCATACTCAAGATATATCTTATACATAAAGGAAAAATATGGACAATTAAATAAAATATGATCCGTAGTTCCTTCCTCAATGCCACAATCGCAGAGGGGGTTGTCTTTGATTTAAAATTTGGCAAGTTGAATTGGGGAACACACATGTCCAAATTGGAAGGCAATATCAAGAAATACTTTAATTCTGAATATAGCCTAAATAAGTGTGGTGTACCTCAGGGAAGTGTACTAGGACCTCTCCTATTCCTTCTCTATATAAACGATTTACCAAATGTGATCACCAATATCATTAAAGGGAAAGGTGACGATCTTCAACATAAAGCTAACGCGGATTTTCAAAAGGTATCACAATGGCTAGTCGATAATAATCTTAAAATTAATATGAATAAAACTAAATACATAAGATTTCAAACATTACATAGTAAAAATCAAAAAAATGACATTCATCTCAATCATGACATTATAGAAGAAGTAAATGAAATTAAGTTTTTAGGAATTACTATTGACAAATTTTGTAATTGGAAGGCACACATTGACATTATAATAACCAAGCTTGACAGATTTATTTATGCTTTAAATAGGATAAGGCAAATTGCTTCAAAACAAGCGGCCATCACGGCATATCATGGTTATGTTTCTTCTGTGATGCGTTATGGTCTCATATTGTGGGGCAATTCAGTGGTTGCGATTAGAGTTTTCATGATTAAAAAAAATGTATAAGATCGATTTGTGGTGCAAGTTATTTAGACTCATGTAAACCATTATTTAAATCTTTAAAAATTTTGCCAGTCTCATGTTTATACATATTTGAAATGGCAGTGTTTGTAAAAAAGTATTTCCATATGTTCAAACAAAATAAGGACTTTGTTTATAGAGGTAGAAAAGGAGATGATTTACGCATTCCTACTCAAAGACTTGTAATGACGTCAAAAAATGCGTACTGTATGGCAATCCGTATATACAATTATCTACCTAATCAGATAAAAACTCTGACATTTACTAAATTCAGAAAGCATTTGTTTGACTTTTTAATTCATAAATTATATTATACAATGAATGACTTCTTTAAAGATAAAAATGTATGACATATATTCGTAAATTTGTTTTTCTAGGTAACATTTTCATTGGCATTGACATTTTGGATAATTTATAGAATTTTAATTGACATTTATTTTTTAATTATTTGATAAAGATGCTGACATTTTTTTTATATCAATTTTATTCAATTTTAGTGACAATTTGTATTTTATTTCTTGAAATTATGTTGATAGCTTTATATTTCTTTCTAAAAATGACTTGTAATATTTGCACGTCGTCCTGACGACAAAATATGCTGGGTATTCAAAAATTGATAACAACTTATAAAACCATATTTTTGCAAATAAAGATTTTATTATTATTATTATTTAGGATAAAATTTACTCTTCCCGACCCCTCGACAATTCGAGGGGGGGAGGATTCCCCCCGGCAGAGGAGGGCAGACGGCCGGGGGTCAGGGCGACAAAGAGAGAAAACGGCGGACGATCCTTGCGTTATCGAGCAAAATCGCCCGCTGGAGCCTCGCAACCATTGGTCCGTCACGGAGTCCCAACCTCTTCAGATGGTCGTGAAGAGAAGTTGGAACTAGGCCATTCGTTGACACTACGACTGGGATGATCTCAGTGGACGACACTCGCCACATATCGGTAACCTCGTGCGCCAGGTTCAGATATTTAAGTTTTTTATCTGATTCGGCTTTCACGAGGTTTTCATCGAATGGGACGGTGAAATCCACTAAGAACACCCGAGATTCCGCCCGGTCCATCAGTACGATATCAGGCTTGTTCGCAGGAACAGTCCTGTCCGTAATGACGGACCGGTCCCAGTACAATCGAGCGCGGTTGTTTTCAAGAACTGGCTCCGGCACATACTTATAGTACGGCACCTTTTCGCCTATGAGGCCGTATTTGAAGGCTAGCTCGAGATGGAGTATTTTGGCTGCTTGGTCATGTCTGTGCAAATACTCGGTATTAGCCAGTACAGGACAACCGGAAGTAATATGCCTGAGTGACTCACCGGGCTGGTGACAGGCTCTACAAACGTCCTCTGTCCCATCCTTCAGGATATACTTCCGGTAGTTTCGGGTCATAATGACATGGTCCTGTATTGCACAGACAAAACCTTCGGTTTCCCCAAAGAGGTCCCCGAAGCGCAGCCAATGCACGGAGGCTCTCGGATCCACATGACGCTCGTGTAGCGCCTTGTAGAACCTACCGTGCAACTCCTTCTCCCTCCAAACGGCCTCTCGATCAGTGGTGCTAAGTACTGCTGGTTCTCGCCATTGCTCGGTGGCCAAAGAGAGAGGGGTTAGTCCTACATCACATGCTTTGACATCTCTATGCAACTCACTGGATTCCGATTTCGCCAGGAAGTAATTACGGAGACTGTGTATCTCGCGGTTGTGCAGGGTTTTCGCACTGAGCAGGCCACGACCGCCGCTCTTCCTCGGGATATACAGCCTCATCACTGACGATCTCGGGTGGTGCATCCTATGGAGTGTCAAAGTTGTGCGGACTTTCCGATCCAGAGCGTCCAATTCGGTCTGAGTCCATCTGAGTATGCCAAAGGTGTACATTAGGACTGGCATGACCCAACCGTTGATAGCCCTGACTTTGTTGACGCCTGACAGGTAGCTTTCAAGCACCTTGGTCAGGCGTCCCAAAAAGGCCCCCTTAACGGATTGTTTCACGTCCGCCATATGCACACCCAGATTCTGTGACATACCCAGATACCGGTATATCAGTTTCGGAGAGGGTACGGATGGTGGATCCATCCGGTAGGTCCACTTGGGTGGAATCACTTATCCGACCTCTATCCACATGGATAACCGCACACTTGTCCAGCCCAAACTCCATGCTGATGGAGCTACTGAAATCCTTTGTGATTTTCAGCAGCTCCGCCAGCCTCTGAGCATTTGGAGCAAGCAACTTGAGATCATCCATGTAGAAGAGGTGAGATATTTTGGACAATCCTCTCTTCAACTGAAAACCTGTCCCTGGTTTATCCAGCAAAGTGCTAAGCGGATTTAGGGACAGGCAAAACCAAAGTGGACTCAGACAATCGCCCTGGAATATACCCCTCTCAATCTTTATTCGGTCTTCCGCATCCGACAGCTGCACGCCGAACAGACTAAGCTGCGTACTCCACTGCCCCATACAGGTCTCGAGGAAGTTTCGAATTGTACTATCGATCTTGTACAGCTCGAGGACCCTCTTCAACCACGTATGGGGAACCGAGTCAAACGCTTTTTTGTAGTCTATCCAGGCTGCAGAGAAGTTGCGTCGGTTGCGTTTGACCTGTTGGGCCACGACCGCATCGATCAGGATGTTGGGCCACGACCGCTTCGATCAGGATGTTGGGCCACGACCGCATCGATCAGGATGTTGGGCCACGACCGCATCGATCAGGATTATTTATTATTATTATTATTATTAGGCGACAAATAATGAAGATAGTTTTTTTACTTAAAAACTTCTCCTTAAAGAACCAAGGAGTACTGGGGATACTTCTCTGAATGTCAAAATAATACTTATTGTTTCTTCACGTGTAAAGACCACAAACGTGGCATTAGCGGAATTGTGTAAACGCGAATAGGCCATGAATTAAAAAAGAAGAATTGATGACAAGTTGTAAATTTTATTTTTCAGTAAAAACGGAATGTTTGATTTGAATGAAATAAGACCTATTATAGTATACTTATTTTTGTGAGTTGTTACTTTGTTAAAAACTAGCTTTCGCCAGCGGCTTCGCCCGCGTGGACCCTAGGGAAATGTTTAGTGGGATAAAAAGTATCCCATTATCTAAGTCAGCTAATACCCTAACTGTATACCAAATTTCATCAAAATCCGTTCAGTAGTTTCGACGTGATTGACGGACAAACATCCAAACAAATAAACTTTCACATTTATAATATGAATAGGATTCTTCTTAATTTGTTAACAATATTTGCATAAATTACCACATTTTCTCAGCATAGATAGATATGAATGTTAATGCATGTTGCAACCAAAAATTAAAATAGACGCACAATTAGACTATGTTAATTAGCTGAGCAGCCAACTGGTTAACTGTTATGGATCATGCATGACACTAGACAATTATTGTTTTTTATTTATTACGTCTGAACGAAAATTTAAATCATTAATAATTTGACTTGACATTACAAACGTTACAGAGCACATGTATAGTGAAATCTAGTTTGATTTCAGAATCTACTTTTTTAATATGTACTGCCTAATTGAATAACTGAACTTGATTAATGTATTCAATTGGTATGCATAAATCTACTGTATTTATCACTATGAAAATGAAACACGTTGAAAAAGTGAATTTTAAATTGCTTAAAATATTCAGCTAAAAATAGCTCTTTCTATAGATAACCTGAAGGTATAATATATGAACCAATTAAAGGTAATATATTGTTTTCCAGTCTCTTCTTCTTCTTCTTTTTTAATAATGGCTTATCTGCGCATTTCGCACAATCTGCCAATGTCAAGTAAATAAATTGTGGACTTAAGTCATTTCTTGATCAGGAGCCATCTTTCATTCATTTCATTGTAAATGTAAACATTAATTTATTTACTTGACATTGGTAGAATTGTGCAAAATGCGCAGATAAGCCATTAATTTAAAAAGAAGAAGAAGAAGAAGTCATTTCTAGACGTTTCCATAAAAAAAAATTTGCTGTATTGCTAGTTTTTAATTTTGTACGCTTTATGTTTCTTTTTAACCGATTAGGTAGGCAATTGTTTTTTATTGCAATTAGCAACTCAGAAATTACTTTTGTTTTTTAATTAAGGTTTACGCTACATTTAGCCCAAACATATTTTTAACCCCTGTTTGAATGTGAAACTAAACTCTATTTTCATATTCACAATTTCGCGCTAGTTTTATTTTTAACTTTTATTCTTCGTCCCTGAGACACAAATTTTGTGTTTGGAAATTTTATGGTTATTTATCTCATATTTATTTTATTGACAATGATGGCGATTTTTTTATATCTTTACATATACACAAGCTTTCTCTATAGCTGTAAATAAATGTATTATGTATACCCACTAAAAAAGAAGATACGACTTATTGTATAGCTATAGCACAAATGTCATAGTATAACAATATTCACTATTATTTAATTTAAACTAAAAAAAATGGTATTAGGTGTCTTATTCAGTAAGATAATTAAGTTTTGTATTCAAATTGGAATCATTTATTACTATATGAATTTATAAAATCCACACGAACAACGAATGCATTGTATTTTTTATTAATTTATCTCCGACGCTTTTTTTAGGTTCCAAATTATCAAGGTTTAATTTTTTAATTTATCATTTCATAAAGAAAAAAAAAGAAATGTAAAATGGGTATAAAAATAATACGAATTTTTCGGGACCTAATTGTTCCTTTTCGAACAATTGTACATAATTTTTGGAGGCTGGCAATACGTCAAAAGTCTCCGTCAATCGGTTTCTTGTTTTACTGTCAGTTTTGTGTTGTGCGTAGTTGTTGTTTGTTGATTTTCGATGGCTTAATTAGTTTTATTATTATTTTATTTTCTCATCTGTTACAATATATCGATTTGAGCTTGACCAAAATGGCACTTTTACCTCCCGATCCAGTTTACACTATCAGAAATGTAGACAACGTGCCAGTTTATTCATTGGCATTTAGCTTTTTGCCCGGAGGTCTGGAGAGGTTACTAGCCGGCTCGAAGAACGGCTATGTTTATGCATACAACCTTCAGGTGAGAACCAAATTGTATAGTTTGTTTGAAATTATCCATATTGTAGCGCTTTTGCGCAGTATTAACACGTGACGTGTCAACTTCCAACAGATATGATCAACTTCATTGTTTACCTGCTACCCCCATTTTATCTTGGCTGTAGATAATCTGGCCAAACAAAATATACAATTCATTTAGTACTGTTGTTTGATATTTCAGTCTTTAACTTATTTTTTGTTAGGTATTGTAAAAACAAAAACTAGAAAATACTTTTAAGAAATTATTTCAAAATTGTTTGTAACTACCTTCTTAAATAAAATAAAAATATATCTATATATCCTGTTTCAGACTAACCGTGTGCAGCAAAAAATTCAAGTTGGTCAAGCTCCAATACTACATCTCATTCACACCAACAGTCATCTAATAACCCAAGAAAAAGGTGGAATTTTTAAGATTTTTGAATTAACTAACAGCGGCTATAAAGAAGAGGCCATAATCAATATTGATTATCCAGGCTTTTGCCGTTTTGAAGCCAACACAAAACTCGAAACAATTTATGTACCTGATAGAGATTCGAAAATATATGTATATAATTTTGCTGGAGAGAAACTGGAAACTTTGATGCCAGACTTTAATGACAAAAGCACACCTAAACTAGGAGATCCAATGTGTATGAAGTACATTGACTTTCCATGTAACAGGCCGTGTTTATTGGCAGGCTATGAAGCAGGTTGGCTCCTTTTATGGGACCTTAATACTAGTCAGTGCATTGGCAAATTACAAACAAAAGAATGTCCAATGACAGTAGATTATCACCGTGATCAACAGAGAGGTATTATCGGTAACGCTTCAAATGTGATACAAATCTTTAGCATAGGCAAGAAAGACTTGAGCTTGGCTCATAAACTGGATATATCAATTAAAAATTCTGGAATTAACAAAGTTCATTCTAGAATGGATGGGAAGGTATTTGCATCTGGAGGATGGGATGGTCACATACGTATATTTTCCTGGTTCTCTTTGCGACCTTTAGTTGTACTTACAGAGCATAAACAAGCAGTACAAGATGTTGTATACTCTACTGAAAAGGTGTCTCTCTGGAAGGCTCCTATAATGGCTGCTGGGGGGTTAGATGGTGCTATTACCCTTTGGGATTTATACAATAACAAAAATTAATTGCATTTAATTATAATAAGCAACATGCTAGATTTAGTAAATTTCGGACAATCTACTTTGAATAAAAATGTAGAATAAAATGTTTTAATTCACTTTTCATGAATGGTATACTTTATGAGCGTTTATGCCAGTATTGCCTTTACTTAAAATATTAGATAAAACAAATCATCCAATGATGCTTTAATTAATTTGAAGATATAATTTTATAGAATACAATTTTTATGCCATTGTAAATTTTAATTGGATCTCAAGTAATGTACAAATGTTGGAAAATAGAGGCATATAATGTCAACGTGAGACAAAACTGTTAGATTTTAAGTTAACTTGTTGTTAAATATAGCAATGAATATTTTCCATGAATAATTTTTTAGTAATGTTTTTCTATGAGCCAAGATATTAAAGGCGTATGAAATTCTTCCACTTGTTTTAATTTCATCATCCCAGTAAGTCGTAGATTTATTATGCTTTTATATGTAAGTATATTATGTTAAATTATTATTGTCATTTGTTGACACATCTGAATCAATATTGATGTAGATGTTGATTTCTATATTTTTACTTAATGTGATATTTTTAGTTACATAGGTATCTATATCACCTGTAATTACTGGAATTTAACAGGCGGTGTCGCAGCGGATGACAGTGGTAAGAGTGTTCGGTTTTTAATCGACATTGCAAGGTCCTGTCATAGGATGGGTAATAAAAAATATTTTCTCAAGCTCCGCCCTCGCTTAGGATGATAGTACGTCAAAGCCACGTTTGGTACCGTCTGCGTCTGAAGTCGTTATCAGCTAGCAATCCACACCATTCCCCTATTCCATTCCATCAAAATACAAATTACCTAATAAGTTGGTAACATGTTTGAGGGTAACCTAACATAATGTTAAAATAAGAAAAATAAATTAAATGCAACTCTGAAATCGTTTTAATTTACACATAGCTACATTTTTTATAATAAATTACTAATATCACATTTACAGTGCGTTTTCTAATTTTTAACAACCCTACTAACTTAAATAATATATGAACAGCTTAAAAAAAGAAAACATACCCACTTATGATGTGTTTTTGTTATGAACAAGTACTTATAAAATTAGTAGGTCTGTTTGTCTATATTTTTAAAATTACTTAAATTTACGACTAGCAATTTCAAAGTACATTGAACTGTGTTCGGATTAACAATTTATGATTGTGATATGCATTATCAGGAATATTATTTAATAAAACATTGTGAGATATTGCATGTTACTGATTTTAAACTTGAACAGTTTTTCTTGTTTTTGGAATGAGAGCTTCATCATCTGTGGCCACTTCCACGAGTCTTCGTCGTTTCCTTAAAGGCCTCGAAGACTCCGACGTTTCTCTCGGCTTTGCGACGATTTTCGCCATTTTACTTCCTAATCGCGTTATTTTAAACTTTGGTAAAGTCTGCTCGGGATTAATGGAGTCAGTACATTCACTTTCTGCCTTCTCTTCGTCGTCTATTCGCTCGTTGGCCACATTATTCTGCTCGTTGTAATCATTGCTGTCTGGGACATCTGTGTTTGGTTCACCATTAACGCTATCGGTTTCTTCTTTATTTTTGTCAGCATTCATTGTAAAGTCTAAAGGTCCTTCGTTATCATCAGGCCTAGATTCAGTTTTAACTTTACTCGCACAGTGTGCTTGGATAAACGCCGACAAAGGCATTGGAATAGGTATCGGCAAAGGTATAGGGAGAACTACTGGATATGGCACTAAAACTGTTACAGGTGGCGCTTGGCCTAACACCGGGGGAAAGTTCATAGGAGGTGGAATACGGGGTCTCTCTTGGTGTATGTGAATGCCAGGACGCGGCAGAAAGTTCACCCGTGGTGGAAACATATTTGGATGTCTGAGATCGTTGATGTGTCCGTTATCCATAAAAACAGGTGGTGGCATCCCAAACAAAGGATTTTGAAATTGTGGAGGTGGTATTACGTGAGTATTGACTGGGTGGGGTGGAGAATGAACGGTGCCATTAACAACAGTGGAAGCTGGCGACGAACCATCTATAGACGGACTACACATTCGTAAATCCTGAGCTTTTGGCGTCGCCGTTCTTTGCCTGGCAGTTTGTGACGTAACTGTTGCAGAACATTTTGATGTCCTACGCTTCCTCAGGTTCATTTTATTGCTTCTAATCTCCTTCTTAGTTTCAGGCGATTTCTGTACTGTCGTTCTTTCTTCTGATGGCCTTTTGGGTTTCATCAGTTTTGAAGTCGGCGCCATAGTTATTAGAGGCAAAGGTGATTTTCTTAATGACTTTTGAGCTTCTGACTTTTCTGAGTTTGCTTTTGCAATGATTTCGTGAGTTGGTGATCCTGATTTTTCGGAAATAGGCGAGGCGGAACGACTTTTACAGTTTTTGAGCCACAGTTCTGGAGTAATGAGGTTAGACGTAGATGAGGCGTTCACCAAGTGAGGATTGAGATCGAGGTGTGCCTGTGTCTCGCGGCAGAAGATATGCATCTTGTACTGATTGAGGCATTTGTCGGAACAGAACTGCAACTGAGTAGCACCGTCCTGTAATGAGAAACATTTTGAAATTAGATACATTTATACCAATTCAGATGTTACTGTTTAAGGGTCGGTGCATAGACGTCGTGTTTAGTAGGTAGCGGAACGTAAGGACTGCCAAATTATATGATTTTATTTTATTGAACCTTGTTCACACAAAGGCAATGCCAACGCGTAATGACGCATTCTTCCGTGAGGCGCTGGACGTACCTACCGTCAGATTCACACCGATCCTAAGTTTGGATCTATGAAGCTTTTTAGGTATATCCGGTTTATTATTTTTATTTAGATAAATAACTGTCATTTAGTATATCTAAATAAAAATTTTAGTTTTGTGTAATCTAACGTGTTCATCGGTATATATATATTTCATTACGTGTTTATAAAAATTTCAATGCATTGAACGTAAACTGCAAAATCAACGTCCTATATGGTAAACCTCACGTTCTACTATGTGTAGTCTCTCATCTTGAAGATAATAATTAAAAGTTGAAGGTATGTGATGAGACGTGAGTAAGTAAAGTAAATTTTTGGGAAATTACCTGAAAATCCACGTAAGCGACAGTGTGTCTAACATGGCGGCACCAGTCGCATGTTTTAGCACGTTTGAAATTGGCGCGCCGTGATTGACTGAAGCAGAGCTCAGAACAGAAGGTGGCGCCGGCCTGCTGCAGGGCTCCACTTTCGCTGGTGATGCTTTTGTTACACCACGAACACTCGTCTGGAAAGGACAAAAATATTACTTAAATAACTTTTTCCTGTTGGTCTCTGTCTTCCTGCATATTTCGATTGGATCCAAAAAGACTAATGAGGCATTCAATATCTAGACCAGTGGACCTAATCTGGACCAGGGGGTAATAGGGATGTCTACATTATTTGTTTGTCCGTCAGGTAGATTATTGAAAAATATTAAACACGTATTTTTTTCAAAATCATTAAATTACGGCGATACATTGAGTTAAAATGTCACATGACGTCACGCTTTTGTACATTTTCTACAATACTATGACGTAGCGAGCCCCCGTTCCTCAACTTTTTGTGTAATGCCTGTTATCTAAGCTATTCCTGGTTAAATTGAAGAGTTTTACTTCAATACGCATCTAATATTTTTCTGTTATTTGACTGATGGGCTAAATAGAATTTCTTTTTTTTTAGCCAGTTGTCCCTATTGTGTAATTTCAAAATCTATCGAAATAGTTTTAAATGGTATAGAGATTTGTGGAATTATGTGATTTTTAAAGTCTCAGTCGCTTTTAGAACGAAAGATAATTTGAATGATCACGAAACATAATAAAAACTTAATTATTACTTTGGTTTGACATTTCTCAATAGCTTTCGAAGATATTGGCATCTAACGCCAATTAACTATATCTTGCATTCAATATCTTAAAAACCGCTATTACATGACAAATAATATTAGCGTGAGCTTCGTTAATATCTCTCAAATCAAATTGCGATAGATTTTGAAAGTCCCCTAATCATATGCAAGCTCGATGGCGCGACTGGTATGTGGAAGTTATGCAATTTTCGCAAGGTGCTTGTTATGCAAGTTATACAATTTTCAGTGCTTAGAATGGGTGCCCAAAAATTTAATGTCTTGAGCTTCTCCGTGCTTCAAAAGGCATGCTAGTTCAGTGAACTGGGAGCCAATTCTACTAAATAAATTTTAAGCTAAAATAGAACTAGAATTGTATCGTATGTCACTTAGTAGAATAGGAAAACCATTAAAAAATGTAGTTTCGTTCGGTTTCGATCCGTTTTCGATTCGATTTAAACAAAATTTATTTAGTAGAATTGGCCCGCAAAGCTGCATCTGTACCAATCAGCACTGCGGAAGTTTAATTTTTTGCCGACTCCCACTCAATATGATTCTATTCCCTTCATTGATAAGCTCTTTTCTCTTAGCAATGGAGACATTAATAGATCGAAAAGCAGTTATATAGCTTCTTATTACTTTTTTAACAACAACAGTTACCATAACATGTTTGTTTGAAATATAAGTATTTACAAATAGCAAATTATTTTGCAATGTAAAATCGTATGGTACGACAGTAGGTACGTCAGATTTCGCCGAATTGTTAGTTCCCGCCGCTATTTTATTACACGCAGAAATTAATAAGGTTTGTAACGTAACGAGCCAACGTTGGTAAGCAAAACCTCGGTTTCAGTATAATGAGTACGAGCTGGGTGTAGCGTTACACAGTTTTTTCTCTCTCATCCAATATCATTCGCAAATTAATTGGCGGTGGATACTTGAGACGTGCTAACAATTTCTGCCATCACAAGGTATTCCGAACGAATATTACTTTCCATTGTTTTTATTGTTTTATACATCGGATAATATGTGGATTGTTAGGTCTTTCATTTAACAATTCATGAATTACGTCATAACGCTTGAACTTTGCTATTCAGCGTCTAACTAGACGTCGAGCACAGAGCTGTCACAGCTAAGAATTTCAATTAAATAAAACCTTTATTACCGTTTGAATTAGGTTTTATTTGAATGAAACTTTTTACTGTGACAGCATTCTTAGAGAAGTCCTTATAGAAAATCATTTTTGAATTTGTTACACGGCTGCATATTAGCACGCGTAGCATGACGAACTCGAGAACGTTTAGTCTACACTCAAATGTCACTTTTCTCGGGTGCGCCCATACGATATCTCACTCTTGACCCGAGAAACTGACAAGTGAGTGTAGACAAAGCGTTTCTCGAGTTTGTCATGCTACCCGTGCAGGTTAACACAATATGTAAAAAGAACTCTACCCTCCATTTATTAAAATTTAAAATCAAGTGGAGGAATTTGACAGTTTTTTTTATAGTCAGACATACAGTCAACGCTATTGGTTGCATCTAAATGAGCGGAAGTACCTTTCGAGGTAAAACAGGTGCCAGTCGAGTAATTGAAGTTTTTTTTAATCAAGACAAATGGAAAATGTAGTCTCATATGCATTTAGGAATCGCCCAAAGTAAAAAAAATACATTTCACCAATGACTAGGAACTACATAACGACATTTGGCAATGCGTAAAGTTATGACATGATTAATATGACAAGTCACAAATGTGTAAGGGATAAAAGAAAAAATGTTTATTTGGAATAAAATAATTCTACTTAAGCGTTCGTAAGATTAAGCGTTTCCTAGTTAAGCTATGTCTTATTGCTGGTTAGTGAAAACGGGTGATAGGCTTTGAAAATAGTTCTTTGATTACATACAAGATTGCAGGTGAATATAAAACAGCTCCAAAATAAATACAATGTGTTATTATTACTGTTAGTAATACTAGTTAGTAAGGTTCTTCTTCATATATTAATAGCTTATCTGCGCATTTCGCACAATTCTGCCAATGTCAAGTGAATAAATATTTTTTTACATGTAAAATGAAAATGAAATGAATGAATAGTTTTATCCCTTGACACATTTGTGACTTGTCGTATTAAGCATGTCATACTTTACGCAAACTCTACAACGTATATAACGGCTTGTGTAATAGACGAAAACGTTTAATGTAACACCTTATTTAAAAGACGAAAACTTTTAATACAATAATTAGATACTTATAAGTTTCAAAAACTAGAATTCTCTAATATAATTTTCATTAGTTTAACGCAATATCATGTCAAGATAAATATCGAAAGCTTTCCGAGAAATCACTTAATCATTTCTTTCCGCACCCCTCGTGCAATATACAGGAACGCTAAACTTTGGAGTTTTTCACAGAAAAGGGGACAACGTTACACCTCCGAATTCATAGAATTACAGCTGCATCTGACCGAGGGTTGGAGTTTCGGAGAAAACCAATTTGAATTGATTTGTTTTTATCAAATTTATTAATAGTTTTATTAGAATTTCTATTTAATTGGAAGTTCTATATTTTTTTATATGTAAGGCATGTTCACCGACTTATTCGTGAATTGTGAACCAATTTTTGTGAACCAAAAACTAGTTTTTGTTTTTGACTTCGTCCACGTTGTATAATGACTTTGCGCAGTATTTCTCAAACCAATATTTATAACCTGAAATAAGGTTTCATGGTTTAAGGTTTTTGAGTTGACGATGATGAACATTACAGTCCTTAATTCCTTATTTCCATCTTTTTATCACAAAAAGCAACCTATTTCCCATCTCAAGTACACTCTGTTTACTTGGTTAGGCATAAGAAATTACCAGTCAGTATCGAAATAAATAGACTAAGAACAATATAAATCGCGATTTTTTGGTCAACTTTTAAACTCATAGCTGTTAAAATTTACAATTCAAAGTTTATATTGTTAATATAATTAATAATATATAGTCGTAGCCAACTGGGTAAAAAATCCGTCCCATTAGGCGGCTAGTCCTTTAATAGAATTGCGTCATTCATTCACACGGCTAAACGTCGGTCAGCTATAAAACTATCACAACGTCTTTCTACAGTGCGGCTGTACAAAACCCAGGGAAATGGTTAACTGTCAAGGATCACGATTCGGAATACAATTATTATAATTGCTAATGCGCTGAAATCTTGTCTAAATAACACCCGCGTGACGTCATATGAAAATAGAAAGTATAGATAGCACAAAATGCAAGAAATAACTTATTTATTAATTTTGTAATATTTATGAATAGTCCCCAAAATATTATTAAAATAATTTAATAACTTTTAGTTTGTTAATTTATTGTATGTAGTTTTGGAAAAGAATTATAAATATTGAGGTATTGGAAAATAAAAAGAATTAACTAGGTATTGGAGAATGATAAAAATAAAGTTTTTTTTTTTACTTTGTAATAATGCGATGACAAAAGAAAATGAGAGATAATACATATATTTATTATTAGTGAAATTGTGTTTACTTATTGTGAAAATCATAATAGGTCTTGCTATTTTAGTCAACAAGTCATCATAATCAATAAAAACAAAAAAAAATGTATTAACGATTCAATAGTTATGATACCAATTAAAACAACAAAAATGTATTAACGATACTAATTTTTAATGCAATTACAAATACCAAATTTAATCACATTATAGGGAGGGAAATCTTTATAAATACTATTTTAGATAGATTTATTACAATGACAAATCAAATTGAAAACAATGGTTCCTATGGTAACATTTTGATTCCCCATAAAAACTTTCACTTCCATTTTCATTTATTTTCATCGACATACTTAGGTCCAAAACAAAGAAGTTTCATACAAACGTTTTCAAACCTTTTGACCCCCTTCGAGGTAGAATTTTCACTCACCAAAAACGACGTATTTTTTACTTTTGGCAACATATTTCTTTGTAAAGTATAAACTTTAAAATGCAAATATACCTGCGAGCGTAGTTTGCATAGAAACTGTTAGATGGCGTAGTGACGATACGTTGTTTAGAGAGGCGGATTACAATTTCTTGAACATGAAACGCTAATTACTGAAAATCGCATTTTTTGCATTGAATCCATTCCATTAAGGATATGTGTTTCTTGAATAATTAACAATTAAGACACGCAATTACATAATTTGGTTACCTTTATTCTTTTGTTCAGCGATCTGTTCTGGACTGCCGTCTCGGGCACGTGATGCCGCCCATCGACGCAACTCTAATCTCTCATAGCCGTACCAGCCGAGTAATTCGTTCATCGCAGTCTCCGCAAACTCCTGGAAAATGAAATAACACATCCATAACAATTATTGCCTCATTTGTCAATGAGCTAGATGGGCATACGATATCTCCAAGATGGCAGGGAAGAACTAGCGAACTAGAACTCGTGTACGTGACATGACGTGGATAAACGAAGTGTATTCTTCGGTAATAAAAGCAGCTCTTGTATTGTAATATCTTGGTAGCCTTTACGAGAACGTCAAAGAATCGGCGTAGGCATTAATTTTTGAAGTTTTTTAATTTAAACAATAAATAGCAATATAAAGAACTAAGAAACATTTAATGTAGTTATTATTTGCTTTTAAGATTATCTGACGTGTTGCTGTAGTTTCCAATCTATTCCATTTCTGGGTAATGACATTATAAATGGGTGTATTTGTAATTTTGTTTAGTTGATTGAATTTTAATTGTTGAAATATTATAGGTATTTTTTCTTTCGATGGTTGAGGAAAAAGTATTTTTGCATATACTTAGTATGCATGATCTTGTAATAAAATCTTTCTGATTATACAATTTCTATGTGGCCAGTTTCGATATCATTAAAAACTTTAAACTTTAAAGAAGATAACTCCAAATTCGAACTAGGAAAATGTGTGATTTTCATTTGTTTTTCATACTGTCAAATTGAAAGAATCTAATGAAAAAAATTCCATACACTTTAAAATTTGATCATAAAAAAGTAAATGTGCAACTCAAGTCGCGAAAAAAAATTGTGACGTTTATGGACCTAGTGCAGTTTCTGTTAGAGTTGCACAATTTGGTTTGAGAATTAAACTTTAATCTTTTCAGTCCAGAAATTTTGATTTCAAATATGCACGTTGCTCCGGTCGCACTGTTACTGTTTAAAATGTGGAGCAATATGGGCATATCAGCAATTACGACGTAGCTTAAGAACTGGGGATTGATCACAAAGCAGTTTTGGCGTATTTGAAAAAAGCTGGGTACACAAAAAAGTTAAATTTTTGGGTACCTCACGAGCTCACTGAAAGCAACCTAATGAAACGTGTACTCATTTGTGATTCTTTATTACGGCGTAATTAAACCGAACCATTTTTGAAGAAGCTGATAACTGGTTATGAAAAGTTGATCACGTACGACAAGAACGTGCGAAAAAGGTTGGTCAGGCTTCACAGACTGTGGCGAAACCCGGGTTAACTCCCAACAAGGCGATGCTGTGTGTATGGTTGCATTGGAAGGGCATTATTCATTATGAGCTGTTATCGCCAGGCAGGACCATCGATTCTGGACTCGACTGCGAACAACTGATGAGATTAAAGCAAGAAAATGAGAGAAAGCGGCCAGAATTAATCAATAAAAGGGTGTGGTTTTTCATCATGATAACGCTAGACCTCATACATCTTTTTCCACTCAGCAAAAATTAAGATTCTTTGGCTGGGAGGTGTTAATGCATCCGCCATATAATCCTTACGTTGCACCTTCAGATTTCCACCTGTTTATATCCAGCTTATATCATATATCAATACCGAAAGAAATATTTTATCTCTCAATTGAAATAAAAATGAAAATCTGTTCAATTAATTAAAGTTTTCAATTGTTTCGTATGTCGATAGGTCACGACATACGAAGAGCGATAATAAACGAACATAACGCGGACGAAATAGCGGAACGTTGTACACCGTCAGATATACGACTGTCACAAGCCGTACTTTCCAGGCACAATAATATACTCGGTGGTTCTGATAAAGTAATTTGAACCAAAAAAGAAAATCATTTCAATTAATATTATATAAAGATCAATTAGTTAAGCTGTGTATGTGTGTGTCGACCAACACTGAAATATATATAATCTCGTAAGCGTTACAAAAATAAAACAAGAAGTTAATAAATGTTCACCGAATGACCTCCTTACTGGCGACTCTTTATTGCAAACGATTACATTTATAAATTCTTTTAAGTATAATAATAAAGTGTCGCGTATTAAAACAATGATACGTAATTCTAAACATATCGTAGTCGATGAAAAACATATTGGTAATTCTATTATAATCTCAGATTGGAGCATTCACTTCCCCAATAAAACAGCTAAAAAGATAGCGACACGAAATAAATGTTAATGGTGTTCTATTCTAGTTAAATCAGCTTTAGCTGTTCACTCTGATTAATAAACATAAATATGTACATTAAATCATAATGTTCAGACTTAAAAAAAATGTTTTTCATTATTTCGCTAGTTAGTAATTTATATTTATAATTAAATCATATTTCACGTAGTCTCAAACAAATTATAATCTATAATCACGCGATCAAAGACACATGTTGACATCGTTTGGAAAACGTAGACGTAGATACCTAAGTAACACACTAAAGATGCCTTCATTATTACAGAAACTGTATATCTCTTTGACATACGAGTATCAAAATAACCCGTATTAATTAATTCGACGTGCGCAAGGATCTACAGTGACTGGCGGTGTTACGACCACAGTAGTATTACTGTCTGGACAGGATGACCAGTCACGAAACAATAAAGATTCGTTAACTGCAGATATTTTGAAAAATTATCAAAGAAAAGAAACATGTAACATTTACCTAATTTAATCTATACTAGTGACAGAAGCCAACTTTACAACTATACGTATACATATATAGTACAATTTGTAGACATACTCAATTCTATTACCAGAAAAATATTATTTATCTTATATCACGTCTAAATCTGTCAGAATATATAAATTACGAAAAAAGCATTAACACATAAATTTAAAGTTATTTTGACAGTAGAGTTAAATACACTGTATGTTATTGCACTCTTGCATTAAAAAAATAGTTTAAGTTTATATCTATAACATTTCTCCGTTCATATAAGTTCTCTTAATAATTTTTTGTATATTTGTGTTTAAAGTGTTATAGCATTTTATTTTTATTTGAAACCGTAACAGTGCCATTAACAAACAAGGTTTAACGTCTGAATAAATTTACACTAAAATTGCAATTTTAGTATTACTCCAAATTCATATTTTACAGAGAATAAGCATCAAGCACAACCAACTATCTTTTAGGAGTAAATATTATTCCCGTAGGACCTCCTACTAGGTTAACGTTTGCCAAGTTTCTTTTTAATAACATAATTTTGTCTAATATTAAGTGCAGTCTCAGCGTAAATTTATTCCAACGTTAAACCTTGTTTATTTATTAATAACACCGTAAATTGAATTAGATAAGAAGTCTGAACTTCGATCGTTACAGTTACTGAAGTTGAAAATTTAGGGGATCAAATACCCGCAATGTGTTGACATTGTTGAGAAAATGTTGCAAGCTTTTCATAAAATGAAACGCAATACATTATCTGAATTCGCATTTAGATTTTTTTCTAGAAAATGTGGGCGATATGAGTAATGAACACGGAGAGCAACTTCACTAAGATACCTATAGCTGCGATTAAAAATGATATCGCAGAAAATTAGAGAATTACCAATCACAGAATATCATTGACAAACGAATAAAGTGGGATTTTTAAAAATAAATTAATTTTAATATAAAAATTGCTACAACAGTCTATTATTACAATAATATTACAAAATTGCGACGTGAAAGAAGAGCTTTTTTGTTGACTAGCTAATACTTTATACGTTTCATTTTTTAAATTTATTTTGGCTTGGAAACCCATTTCACCGTAAATATGAAAAAAATATTACATAGTAGATATTTCAAATACGAAGAAAGTCCACAATACTTTACAATAGCAGTGTTGTTGGTATAGTGTTGCTTAATAATTATCACACAAAATACGATATGCCGAGAGAGAATATGCCGAAAGTACCGTAGAAGACTCGGTAACGTAAAACGAACGCCCATTATTCGGGATTTCACTGGATCGAAACTTTCGCCAAAATGATGCATTCAATATACAGGCTGTTATATTAATTACACAAACTCTAGAATTAATATCGTATGGAAATTAAGCAGTCATTATGTGATCTTAAATATATTTTTACTATGATTTGTACCGACATTTTTATAGAAATATTTAATTCATTTTTGTGCATTTGTGCAAGGCCAAATGCCTTGATTTTTTGGAATGATTTCTTGAAATACCTTTATTTATGAAAGGCATTTAATAAGCGTGCATGTCAAATTAAGAATATTTAATCGTAAACAAAATAAGGCCCGGTCAAAACGCGGTGTAACGTTAGCCCTGCTCGTCGATAATATTATGATATCCAATATAACATAAATGCTTTTAATGGCAGCTTGGCTAAGGTAAATTTAGGAGCGCTCGCAATCCGACACCGCGCGACCTACGCACCAACACGCCAGTGTGCCCGTCGTACAACACTCGCCAACTTACAACTACTGTGCATGATTAGATCACTATTTATGTTCTTTACAAGATTTGTTTATTTATTTTATAAGACAATAAAATAAACGCGTAATGAATGTCCAATGGTTCCGGGAAAAGTGGACTGTGACAGACGACAGGGTGATTCTATAAAGTTTTTTTGGAACGCCGCCCTAGAATATATACAGTCCAACAAAGAACTCCCCAGTATTTTATTTGTATTTTGTATTTTTGAATTTTGAAGTCTGTTAACAGATGTCGTAGTCTTAGCATCTCTTACGGATCCGGATTTCTGTTATAGTTATTATGACTTTAGATAATTAACTAATATGTCTTAATTGTTTAAAAATTACATAGCTCACCTTCACATATCATATGGTCCTTTTAATTTTTTTTTCAAATAAATGCACCAGTAATTATCATCCATATTTAAAATCTTACAACTATATGTATATCTTACTTACAATTATGTGTCTTGTAAAACTTTTATAAGAAAACAACTATGTTACCATCAGAATAATTAGTTAAAAAAACAATATTCATTTACTTCTAAAAACATCTTAAAGGACTTTATGTTATGACTTTTGATTTTAAAATTTATTTTATAATTTTAATAAAATTCAAATTTTTAAAGCTTACTACTTTATAGAATTATTTGTGTAATGGTAACATTATATGAGCCACTATTTAATGGTT